GTGGCTCAGTCGGTTAAGCGACTGCCTTCGGCTCAGGTCATGATCCTGGAGTCCCGGGATTGAGTCCCGCATCGGGCTCCCTGCTCGGCAGGGAGTCTGCTTCTTCCTCTGACCCTCCCCCCTCTCATGAGCTCTCTCTCTCTCATTCTGTCTCAAATAAATAAATAAAATCTTAAAAAAAAAAAAAAATTATATGAAGAGCAGTGGGCAAAATATTCCCCAGCGGGTAGGTTCTTCTCTCTCTTCCCACACACCCACCTGCCGTAATGAGGCTGCAAAAGCTTCGTGAGAACTGTTGAGCCGGGTCCGGAACTGGCTACAGATGCTCTTGGCCAACTTGGAGGCACTGAGGCTCTCGATGGCTTCCTGGGCCACCTTCCTCTTCCATTCCAGCGTGATGGCAGGTGGGCTCACCCACGTGATGCGCTGGATGATCTGCAGGATGAGGTCAGTGAGAACACTCAAGGGTGGGAGACAGGAGCCACCAGAAAGAACCAACACCCTTCCCCTCGGGCCTAGCCACTCGGTAGGAGCAGGCTATGAAGAATGGAGCCACGTGATGGCCAAGACTCCTCTCCAATTCCATCGACCTCAGAATCAGGGCTCAGACCAAGGGAAAGCATCAAGGAACACTAGGCCTAGTCTACGTGCTCACAAGCCCTCACTATGTACAGTTAGTGCCAGGGTGCCTGAGAATTCTCTTTCTGAACTCAGTATGGAAAAAGAGCCACATCAAATTCAGGAAAAGAAACCACACAAATGGCCTCTGGCAACAAAGCCTGGGTCTGAGAAAACATTCAAGCTGGGAAAAGGGAATATGAAGAAGCTAGTGAAGGAGAGTTTTATGGCTGCATAAAATTTCATTTAAACGCACTATTTTAAGCATTAAAGGGGCACTGTTCCTAATTACTTCAGAATCGGTGCAAATCAGAACTCTCCCAGGCAGACAAACCAGGACAAATGGCCACCCTACACCAACAGAATATCCTAGACATCAGTCACTATTAGTGCCTAAGGTTCATCTGAGCCAACGAGGGGTGGAAAATGTTTCTCTACGGAAGCTCCACCTGTTTGATTTGCTCCCATAGCATCCTTGTAACCGAGGACCCTGAGTGAAACGTAACTTCAACGTGATAGGCGGCATTTAAGATCTGAAAGAGAACACACAAAAGAAAATCAAGATGCCCTGAGCAGAGTGGCCGATTAAAAAATGTGATAAATAATATTTACTTAAAGCACAGAGTCCTGTTTCAAGGTTCCCAAATATATCCTTCCATAAACGTGCAGGGTCTACATGGGTTGATCATCTATTTTGTGACTCTTTGGGCCCCTTTACTTCCATCTTCACCGCCTTGCATGTTGCCTTAACTGCGATTTTGCAGTTCACAAGCACCTCTGATGGGCAGGGGTCATGTGACAGGAAAACGAAATAAAATTCCAATCGGATGGGCAAAAAGGTGAAAGGGAAATTCTTGGCTAGCTTGAGGTCAGGCTTGCGGGTGGGCTCTGTTTCCTGTGTTATCTGTGACGTGGCGTCTAACCGGTCTTCAAGTACCTGTTTGAGATAATTACTGGTGATGTGAACAGAGACGTCCTGGGACTTCTCCAGGCTCTGCAGACAGCGTTCCAGGGTCCCGACGAAGCTCTCGCGCAGGTAATCCACTGAGCTGATCAGCTTGTTAGCCACTGCCTGATTGAGCCGGGAGATGATGAGCTCCTGGATCTGCCGGATGCAGCATTTGATTTCTCTGGTGCCCACTGCCTCTCCATTCTCGGGGACAATGACATCTGTGGAGGCAGAGAGAGAAGCCAGTTGGCTGTGAGGGGAAGGGACAGGCACTCAGAATAAAGGCCTCTCCCCATCAAAGCCACAGAACTGCCATGATGACGGCTATAAAACACACGGCTGGCTGGCGAACTCTGACCCTCGGTGTGATCCGGGGCCATGCGGTCCTCTACTAACTAGGGCATCTAAGAATCCTGAGAAGGAGCAACTGTGTCTAGAATGAGCCTATTGATTTTGTCAGCTTTTATGTCACTTTTATAGGACAGGAGGAATATTTATTGAGTGCAGACTATTTGAGAGGCACCATAATAAATATTTTATATATGTAATCGAATTTAATCCTCACGATAACTTTGTCAGGTGGGTATTACTGGTCATATTTTATAGGTCAGGAAACAACCTCAAGGAGAGGACAGAGGGGGCACTGGGAAGGGGATGGTACAGTTAGGAAGGGCGACAGCTAGCATCTAAAACCCAAGCTCGTGGACTGCCTTGGATCTTCGTAATATTTCACACTGCGGAACTCCTGGAAAAATCCAAGAGTTGGGGATTTGATGCTAATCAATTACTAAATAAAAAGTAAACCTGAAATGTTGTGGCCAACCTGCTACTACCTCCCAGAATTAGAAATCCGTTCTGCAAGTCAGAGGACAGAACTTAAGAGAAGACAAATTACCTGCAAAAACTCCACTCCTAAAAAGGCACTCTGATGTCTACTGTGCAAATTTAAATTGGTGCCACCTCTTTAGAGGAAATCTCATAATATCTACCAAAAAATTTTTTTAACCAATCAAAATTTTAAACTAACCAACCAACAAACAAAACTATCTACATACCCTTTGACCTAACTATTCTGCTTCTAGGAATTGTTTTTCTAGAAATATACCTTTACAAGGCCCAAAGATATGCATGTAAATGATAATGCAGTAGAGTTTGTAACAGCAAAAAAGAAAAAAGAAAGAATGAGCCTAAATGTCCATCAGTAGGGGTATAGTTGAATAAAATCAGGTACATCTATTAGAAGAAGACAAATCCACGTGTACGTTTATGGGAAGATCTCTAAGATATGAGTTCAGTGAAAAAGCAAGGGGCAGAAGAACATATGGAGGAAAACTAGGTGGCTGGAGGACAGTATCTTTATATCTCTGAGTGAAGTACTATGCATGTAGGTATTATCTTTAAAAAATGTATTTTCTGAAGTATGTATGTAATGCATTACCTCTATTTTATTCTTTTTTTTAAGATTTTATTTGAGAGAGCGAGAGCGCGCACGTGCGCATGAGCAGGGGGGAGGGGCAGAGGGAGAGGGACCAGAGCCTGCCATGGGGCCTGATCCCAGGACCCTGAGATCACGACATGAGCCCAAGTCAGACGCTTAACCGCCTGAGCCACCCAGGTGCCCCGCGTTACCTTTATTTTAAAACAAAAACCAATACCAGAAATCCAGCTCCTTAGGCTATGTGGTAGCTCTCTTCTAAATCTACTTACCATTGCCTCAAGGATCCCCAGAAAGAACTTAGAACACGGTTAGTCCTATCTAATACACAGCTAACTTGGAAAGTGGCTTCACAAATCCACCATGTAGTTAATAGAGCCAGATGTCTGATCTACTTGTTCCCAGTTCCCCCTGCGTCTGTTGAACTAACCACTGCATCCCAGGTACCAGACATGGTATCCCTGGCACATAATAAACAATCAAATATTTCACAGACTGCCCAACCTCCCTGCCCTGCCCCCTTTATCCTGTGTGCTATGATGCCGACGCTGATGCCCCAGCATCCTAAGTTAGTCAGAAGCCTTCTTAGGATCTCCACTGCAATAAGGCCTGTAAGAAATAAGGCTTCCTGTGCTTGCTAAAGTGGAGTCCGTTTCCTCTGTGTAAGTGTGACACAGCCATATACCAAAATTCACATAGCCATTCAAACTCCCACGAGGTAGTGTACACATCTCTGTGTGAACTGCTGTAGGAGATATGATGATAAACAAGACCCTGTTCTCCTTCCTCTCTCGGATTTTAGAAAACACTCAGAAGAACATAAACAACTGTAATAAAAGAAAATGAAATACGCCAGAAATTTCAGGTACGCATGAAATGCAGTGGGAGTTCAGATGGATGTGATCACTATTAGCTAAGAAAATTAAAGACACCTTCATGAAAGATGTTATTTAGAAGAGGCCTTGAAGGGTAGGTAGGATTTGGAAATTCACAAATAAAAGACTTTTGGGGTTTAGGGCAGGGCGGGAGTAAAGAAAAAGTAAAAGAAGAGATGGAGGACAGCAAGCAGCTGAGAGCAAGAGAAACTGAAATTAGCAGAAGGTGCCTAGTGGGAAACAGGACCGGGAAAGTTGGTCAGGGCTAGGCTTTGGAAGATCCTTACCACTAGGCTAACGAGTCTAAACTTAGTCTGTAGGAACACAGAGCCAATGCAGATGAACTGGAGAAAGGAGAGAAAGATGTCTGGGAGAACAATAGGTAGCTAGGAGCTATAGGGAGAGGAGTAGCTCAGGTGGACTGAGGAAGAGGGAACAGAAAAGCAAAGGTAGATATGATATATGGAAAAAGACACATCAGAACTTGGCCGCTGACCGGATGTGGGGACAAGGGAGAGCAAAGAGCTGGAGACCATGCTGAGGTTCCAAAGCCGGTTACTAGGAAGATGGCGGCGGCAGTAACCGGGAAGAGATTCAGAGTCAGTAAACATGGAAATTCAGAGTATGGGCTCAGGAATCAGACTGCTAGTTTCAAACTCTTACCTTTACTCTTCAGTAGCTGTGACCTTGAGCAAATTACTTAACCTGCCTAAGCCTCAGTTCTCTCATCAGGAAGATGGCAATACGCAGAATCCAGGGAGGGACTGAGAAAAAACCGATGCGAGGTCCCATATCAGAAATTCTGATTAATCGGTCTGGAGTGCTCTGGGGTGATTTCAAACATCTATTTTCAAAAAGCCCCCCAGGAGATTTGGATGTACAGCCATGATTGAGAACCTCAAGATAACTTGCAAACCACATCACTGTTCTTAATGGGTGGTAGGGCTAATGTTCCTGCAGGGAGGTTTACAGAGTAGTCAGTATACAAAGTCAGCCACATCAAGACCTCAACCCCAAAAGACCTGACGAATCACTTTGGCCCAATTTTGTTAATAGCCACTCATGAAGAATGGACTTCCAGAAAAGTTGTAAACACAACTTTGGGAAATACTCCTGAGCTGGGTTTCAGGAGCAGCCTGGAAAGAAAATGAGACCAAAGCACACAAAAAAAGAACCAAAAAGGAAGCACGGGCCATGCTGAAGGTTAAAGCCAAGGTTAAAGCATGACTTAGTAATGCTCTTCAGGCAGCTCTTTTCCAGCTCCGTCAAGGTCAAGGGGATACAGATATAAACTGGAAATTTAAGAGCGCTATTAGGATGAACTTACCAGAAGCTGGACTACCAGTCCCGGGAAGGAATGACAGTGGAATCTTCCAGGAAAGCCTCTGAGAAGAGGCCACTCTGGCTAAGTGATTTAAGGTGGGCTCCTACTCATGACAGTTGGGTAGACGAGATGTTCCTGAGCTGCCTTTGGCCTTCGGAATTCATGGGACTCAGTTTCCAGCTAGGAAAGGGTTAAAGAATCCTGCGGTCCCAGCAGCCCACACCAAGCTCTCTAGACCTACCTTTAAATTCCATGTTGGCAGCATCATCCAGAAGTTCTTCCTTCATGGTGTTAAGCGTCTCAACAATCATGTCCTTCATTTCCTCCTGCTTTCGGTTAGCAATATTCATCAGTGATTCGTACAACTCATTTTCCTTTTTTCGAGTATATTCCAGACGTTTGGGAGTGATCTGTAGGTCCCGCTGCATGTCAAAGGCCTGGTTAATAAAGATGTCGAGGCAGAGACAGTGCACCCGGTTCAGGGCCTTGGCTGCGTCCACCAGGCGAGTCTGTAGCACCTGCTGGGAAAATGTGCTCAAGTGCCTCAGTTTCTCACTTTGCTCCACCAACATGCTCTGAGCTTTAGTGTCTTGGCCAGGGGCCCCACAGTTGCAGTGACTGCTGCTCAGGTAGCCCAGGCCCATCAGCTGATGATGGAGGGCTGATCTTTCACTCTCTATTCTTCTGGTACACGAGGCAATGATCTCCGAGCCCAGCTGCGGCACTTTGAAAAAGAATACGGGAAAGGAGAAATACTTCCGGATTTCCTGAAGCTCTTGCTCGTCCCTCTCAGACAGTTCGTCTTTGTGGAGTGCATAGGTTATCACAGGCAAGAAATCGTTCACCAAGTCACCCAGAACATCCACTGCAGGCCGGAGGCCTTGGCACGGTGCTACCACAATGTCCACGTCCTGGAAGGGGAAGGGGGGGTCATATCAGCACTTTGGGGCCAGAACCAATCCTTGCCTCCCCAAAGTCCCACAATGAGACCAAAATTCAGATCTGTGACGGGGCAGTGGGACTTTGGTAGGCCCAATGACCTGCCCACCTCCTTCCCTGAGTTCCCAACACTCCCTGCCACAGCCTAAGAGGCAGGCACTCATCTAGAGAGAGAAAACAGTCTGCAGAAAGGCTGGCAGATAAAAAGACTTTAGTTCCTGGCTTCCTTCGCTGTTTGGAAACCCACTGATGCCCTCCGATGGAGTAAGACAAATAATGGAAGGAGAAAGAATTGATGTGGACATGATCAGATCGGGATTGAGGCTGCCTGGAACATTCCTCCCACTCTCTTCTTTGCTCATCTTCCCAGCCCCACCTTTCTAAGGCAGCTAACTCCCAAGCAGCCTTCCAATCTCCTTGTGTATTCTTGTCATGCTCTTAGTGAGTCCTTCCTAGTACACAATCCCAAGCACTCTCTACTTCTCCTTTCCTTAATGTTCAACACATTTAAAATTTATTTATTTCGAACCCATTTTTCGGGGTACCTGGGTGGCTCAGTCGGTTGAGATTCTGCCTTTGGCTCAGGTCATGATCCCAGGGTCCTAGGATCGAGTCCTGCATCAGGCTCCTTGCTCAGCAGGGAGCCTGCTCCTCTCTCTGCTTCTTCCCCTGCTTGTGCTGCCCCCCACCACAAATAAATAAATAAAATCCTTAAATAAATAAATAAATAAAATCCATGTTTCCCCAATAGCCTGTCAACCCATTGAGGGCAGGGACCATGTCTACCTTGTTAACTATGGAAACTCCAGTGCCTAACACATAGCCCTCACTATTGTTGAATCAATCAAGCAGCAAACTAAAAGCCAGGTTTGCCAAACACTACTGTCCTATTCTAAAAGTTTGCAGGTATCCCAAAGTCTTAGCCACCAAAGTCCTGGTAATACCTTTATTCTCATGATCATGTGGTATGACAGAGACTAAGGTTTGCCTATCCGATATTTAGCCTCTGCATTACTGGGAAGGCAATGGCCTTTACAGACAAGGCTGCCCGATAAGTGCATTGGGCTTTCAGAAAGGTTCTTTAGAGGGGGTTCGATTCTACTAGGAAGTATGCTCTTTGGCCTCATCCTTTTTGCCTTTTGAACAAGAAGGTCATCCTACAGCCCTAAGGCAAACCTGAGGGTAGAAGCCAGCACTGAGGATGATGAAGCAAAAAGAAATAGGGGGCCTGGGTCCCTGGTGACGGCAGAGCGGGCACACCAGTCTGGCTTCAGACTTCTTTCATTTGAGGGAAAAAAAATTAACTTCTATCTTGTTTAAGCAAGCGCATTTTTCTGATCGTCTGTTACATATGATTGAACCCAATCATAACTCATACACCCAAGATTTTTTTTTTTTAAGATTTTATTTATTTATTTGACAGAGAGACACACAGTGAGAGACGGAACACAAGCAGGGGGAGTGGGAGAGGGAGAAGCAGGCTTCCCATGGAGTAGGGAGCCCGATGCGGGGCTCAATCCCAGAACCCTGGGATCATGACCTGAGCCGAAGGCAGACGCTTAACGACTGAGCCACCCAGGCGCCCCCATACACCCAAGATCTTAAAGTGAATTTCAAGAATGATCTTTGGTTTAGAAACAAACCTCTACAGGTCCTTTTCTAGCCAATAGTTTTTGCTTTGTGTTCTACTTCTTTCCTGAGGATCCTGAGGCACTTAGAGAACAGATGTTTCCATCCACGGCACAGGCTGCTCTTGTCTATCTTTGAAATTGTCTACTCTGCCTGGCATCCCAGACCTAAGGGTGGACAAGGAGACTCATACCTGTATCACCATCGTAAGCACACCAAGGGGATGTCTTCAGGGACCCGCAAACTCAAAATCAATCCTGCACAGAATTCTAGCACATTTTACAGAGTTGTAAAAGAATTCAACACAAACCTGTTCAAGTTTGTGTCCTTAACATTTATCAGATGTTACAAATGTACTTTATTTGAAATGTAAAAAATATGCAATTGTTTGTTTTCTTTCAGGCTCATATTGTTTTCATTCCTTACCCTATTGAGTAGCAGTTATTTTTGATGAAAAAAAATTTTAAATAAAAACCTGGGACCTTTTCCTTTTTGATCTCCTTGCCTAGATAAGTAAGAAAGGGCTGGGAAATGCCAGCCTATTGTTTCTTGTACTGTGTGTGTGTGTGTGTGTGTGTGTGTGAGAGAGAGAGAGAGAGAGAGAGAGATCTCCCATCCCCAGAAAAGCTTTACAAAGATCTCATCTTCCCTAATAAAGAATTAGTAAGTTTAATTCTCAGGTAGATCACATAACTGTTATTTGGCCACTCTGAACTCTCTAAAGCTAAAAGTGCTTTTAGCATCTCACCATTTCTAATTTGAGCAAACACTGAAAATCCAGCTACTTTGCATCCAAGCCTAGGCCAAGAAGAGATCTGCTATTTCATCTGTGCCATGAATTGCATGAAATGTTTTCTGATCGGTAGACTAGTCAACACTCACCCCACTGTTCAAGACAAACCCCTTTCACTACCCTGAGTCACACTGCTGGAGTATGAATCACTTCGTGAGGCATATTCAGAAAGTAGGTAAGAACTTTTATGGCTTAGAGTAGAACACACAAATGCCTAAATACCAACATTATAATACATATAATAATTTAATAAAGACTAGGAGAGAATCCCAAGAAATGAAAAGTTATAGTAAGATAGAGAATTACAGGTGAACATGTTTTTAAAAATATTTATTTTAAAGTTGCAAACCTCTCTTAAATATATACATTTTGAAAGATATAAACCAACCAAACTTATTACAGGAATATCATGAGAAAAAAGCCTAAATATGCAAACCAAAGTAAGAGTTCTTTGAAAATCGTCAGGAATAATTTTGTTTGCTTGTTTATTTATGATGGATTTTCTTAAAATTCTAAAATAAATTCACAGGGTTTCCTCAAAGAACCATTTTGTGTGTGCAAGAAAACCAAAAGCTGCGGGGTCCACTTGCAGAACGAATATCCTTCCTAGGAGACTGCTGACTTCATTTGCTCGCAGGTGCAGATTCATTTTTTAAAGGCTTTAGGGTTTTCTAATGGTAGATACCACCTGATATACTGGCAAACAGAAAGAAGTTGTCCACTCCTAAATATATCTTGTACTAAACAAAAATGGAGAGACAACAAGTACGACGCTCTCTCTCCTCCATTCCCCAGTTAGTTAGCGTGTGCAGGTGGTCTCCCCATGCTGAAGACCATGCGTGCAGAAAGAGCTGCCTGCCTGACATCCTGGCGGTGGTACAAACCAGGCTGGAATGTGCTGTGTGATTCTGTGACACTTACAGTGAAGGGATGACTCATCTCTGACAGTTATAAACGAAAAGGGAAGCCAGCACTGTCTCCCAGAGACAGGGAGTAAAAAAGTCATCAGTAATATAGAGAGGAGGAGCCAGACCCACTGTGGGCCCTATTCTGGCCCCCTGAGAGGGAAGTCTGACCTCGGACGATCTCGTGGAAGGCTATCTGCCTTCCTAGGACCTAGAATGGCGCTTGGCACTTTGTGAGCATCCAACAAATACATGTGGAATGAACGGATGAATAAATGAGGCCTTTACTACCTGCTCAAAACCATTTTCAATAATCATATGTAAAATTTCCTATCTTTCAACCCATATCCCATACATTTAGCTCTGATTTCTGTTTGCCTCTACTCCAAGAATAAAGCAGTGAGTAAGTATTTTGCTCCTAACTCAATCAGGGAAAAAGAATCTCAGGGAATAATGAGAGTACCCCCAAAATTCCCACTGGGAGTCACAGTGAATTCCTAAAGAGGTTTCTCTTGTAGAATGCATTCTGCACAAATCTACAGAATCGATAGAAGTTGGTGTGCTAACCATCAATTTTCTCGGCAAGATCAAGAGAATGAACAGAAAGGAGAGTGTTACTCTGCAAACACCAGAACTGACCTCTTAGGTTCTGTCTTTGGTGTAAAATGATATTGTGTTAAATGCCAAGAAATGGCTCAATTACTGAAGATGCCTGACCATTTCCTAAGAACACTGGCTCTTATAGCTCATGGCCCATCCCTCAAACTCAGTTCTGGCCAAGAATGAGTATATTAACTGGTGGTTCAAGCAGAAGACAGCCATGCTCTCAGGTAGGTCACAAAGGTCTTCACTTTCTCTACAGTTCTGAAGCCTCAGGTTCACATCACACCGAAAAGAAGTACGCAACTACATAACATAGCTCTGCCCAAGCTCAGCAACAAATCCGGTCTCGACCTCAATCCCTGTCCCCATATCTACCTACCTTTACCGTCCATTCTCCTCCCATGCCATTCTCATGGGGCTGTCCAGAGGTTTTTCCTGTTTGTTTTTACACAGGTTGATTCTTCTTCATTTTTACATGATTCCCAGAAGGATCACTCTTAAACGTTAATTACATATTAAGGAAAATACCTCTCTGTTCTTCTTACATTGTAGAAAATATCTGGCTGAATACATACTGAATAGCCTCTATGCAATCTACCTTGCAGCTATTCCAACATCCAGTACCCAGAGATCCAGACAAAAGCAGGAATCTGAAGCTTTATTCTCTTGTCCACTTACTAGATTCATCAAAGCAGAGAGACTAAGTAGTAGAATGGAGAAGAGAGAAGGCAGAAGGGAAAACTTTACCTTTTAACTTTATAACTTTAACTTTTGTCTTATTTAGCTTTTAATAACATCTTTCTCTTCTTCCATTACAAAAGAACCTCGAAAATGAATGATGAAGAACTTTGTGTCTAACTGGAGCAGAATAATGACGATAAGTAAGTTGGAACTAGAAGGACTTACACGTTTGACAAAAGGAAGGCGTTCCACCATGGTTGTCAGGGAAGGGATTGGTGACTGAGAGAGGGGGAAATTCTCAAGGACGCTGATTAATACATTCAAAGGGAGGAGGGAACTGGCTCACTCCGTGCCAGACACT